ATGAGGCCCACCGACTTTGGTGTGGGCAGATCTTCTTTACTTATTGTATTAATTTAAATACTAATCTTTTCTGGAAACACACTCCCCAACATACCAAGAAACAATATTTTACCAGCCATCTGGGTATCCTTTACTTTAGTCAAGTAGCCATGTAAAGGTAACCATCACTGTGAGCTAATTAATACAAGTAAAGGGCTCAGAGCAGTGCCTGGCATAAAGCAGATACAGATGAGGGTTTGCTGCTGCTATCATTTAATGTATTCCATGGTAACGACACTTACCAGTGTTTTCAACCAGTGTGTCGCTCTCCTTGGCTGGAGTCTGTTTTAGGCAAACTTAAGAAAGCTTACTTTATTATGTGGAGTTTCCTAAGTAACTTCCTTTGTTCTACAAACAAACAAACAAACAAACAAACAAACCAAAAAAAAAAACAAACAAACAAACAAAAAAAAAAACGAAGGAGTATGGATTTCCTTAGGAGGACCACAGGAATCCTGCCTCAGGAAAGGACACACTGGTACATCTTCACCTAAAAAATTCCCTGCCCCTAAAATTTATTTCCTGGACTCAAGGCTTCTTTTTTTAGTTCTCTGTATCACCAGCACTGAGTGAGGAAACTGACACATCTGAGTGTGAATCAATATTTTTTAATTGATTTAAATGTGAAAAACACTGCTGCTATAAAAATATGTGGAAAGGCATGATGTACTGTGATCTATACACAGTGGATGGTAAAAAGTTTTAGGGTAAAAAAGATAACTATCCATAGAGTGGTGACTAAAAATAACACCATACTTGTTAACCACAGTGGTGTGAGTCATGGGACTCAGTGGTTCTTTCACGTCTTTCCAGTACTGTCAATCTTTCTACAGTGAAGATGTGTATCCTTGACAAAGTACAGCCAGAAGCACAGGTTTTCTAAGATTTGACCCCAGGGTGATGTCCTAGGGCAGGGGTCGCCAACCCCCATACCAGTCCTTGGCCTGTCAGGAACCGGGCTACACAGCAGGAGGTGAGCAGCAGGAGAGCAAGCAAGGCTTCATCTGTGTTGCCAGCCAGTCCCATCGTTTGCCACCTGAGCTCCACTTCCTATCAGATCAGTGGCAGCATTAGATTCTCAAAGGCTTGTGAACCCTATTGTGAACTGTGTGTATGAGGGAGCTGCGTTGGATGATACTATGAGAATTTAATGTCCGATGATCTGTCACTGTCTCCTGTCACCTCCAGATTGGACTGTCTAGTTGCGGGAAAACAAATTCAGGGGTCTCCCTGATTCTGAAACCAACTCAGTAGTTCCATAGACTTGTTCTTTTGGATAAACATAGAAATTAACCTTTCTGATCTTAAAGCTTGAAGCTTACATTTATTTTATCTGAGTTCCTTCCTTAGGAAAGGACCTTCAGGCCTCTCAAACAAAGTGTCAAAGAACCGAAACTCACCAGAACACCACATCAAGACAATGAGACCTGGACCCCTCATTCATCATGATTGCTTCCTTACCCCTCCCTAGTTCCTATTTTCTTACATATCGGTAAATTTCTTCCCTGCTATAAAAACCCCTAGTTTTTGTCAGTTAGGGAGATTGGCTTGAGACTGAACTCCCATCTCCTTGGCTGTAGAACCTGATTAAAGCCTTCTTCCTTGGTAATACTCATGATTTCAGTGATTGACTTTATGTGCGGCAAGCAGCAGGACCTAGACTGAACCCTTGGTGGTTTGGTAACAGTTCTGCATTATGGTAAGGTGTATAATTATTTTGTTATATATTATAATGAAATAATAGCAATAAAGTACACAATAAATGTAATGCACTTGAACCATCCAGAAACCATTCCTCACCCTCCCCTGGGTTCATGGAAAAATTGTCTTCCATGAAACTGGTCCCTGGTGCCAAAAAGACTGGGGACCTTTGTCCTAAGGGCACATGGTGGTTGGACCAAGTATAATAGACCGTAAGTGTCTGAAAGGATCTTACTGGAGGATCTTGTCAGAGGAGTGATGCAGAGATAAGTAGTTAATTAATGGGGATGGAGTCTGCAAAGAGAAGAGAACAGAGCCTGCTGCCTGCTGAGACAGGCCATGGACCTTGCCTCAGTGCATCCCAGCTGCAGGGTGCCACGGGATAGAGGGAGAGGACAGCTGAGTGTGAATGTCACCCAGCAGCAACTCCCAGCCAAAGGCTGGACACTTCATGGGAAATATTCTTTCAAAGGCCCTTGGTTCTATACATTGTGTTTTATTTGGCAGCATTTATTTATGATGTTACGCATTTTGGTGAATGATTTTTGCTTTTTTCATTTCTTAAGCTCCTTGCCCAAACACAGTGCTCAAGTGCTACTGTCCTGTGGGTCAAGTTAACTCTAAAGTTGTTGTATAGCAGGAACTCTTGCATTATTAGCTGGGCTGCTGGATGAGATGGGTTCTGAGATTGCTTCCAACACTAAGGCTCCTTGATTATTATCTTTTTCGTTGAGACACAGTCTTGCTGTGTCACACAGGCTGGAGTGCAGTGGCATGATCTTGGCTCACTGCAACTTCTGCCTCTTGGGTGCAAGCCATTCTCCTGCCTTCCCAAGTAGCTGAGATTACAGGTGTGCATCACCATGCCTGGCTAATTGGGAGTTTGCCCTATCAGCCAGGCTGGTTTTGAACACCTGGCCTCAAGTGATCCATCTGCCTCAGCCTCCCAAAGTGCTGGGATTAAAGGCATGAGCAACTGTGTCTGGCCTCTAACTTTTACAACGTGCTCATCTTCTTCCTGGAACTCTATTGAATTAAAATGCAAGTCAATTAAACAGTATTTAAGATCATGGAGGCGACAAAGCTTTGAGGGCACATTTGTCTACAACTCACCACTTTGACCCAGAAAGGAGGGACAACATTCAGTTTTGATGAGGGTTCACACGCTGTGTGATACACGTTTCTCCCTCTACTTTGAAGTGTCACATGACAATGGTTTCTTGTTCTCTCCTGATCCCTATAGTGCCCTGGAAAAAATATCTGAATGAGCATGTTGGTTTTTGAAAAATGTTCATGTTGAGTTTTTTCATAATGTAATTGGATAAGATTTCCATGCCCCCAAGTTAGAGCATTCCTTCTTAGACCTGACCCTCAGAAGAATGCAGACAGGTTTATATTATCTGGTCTGGAACTAGGGGAGGTCCTGGTTCCATGACGTCCATCATTTCCATAACCAAGTTTGTAACGCCTTTGATTTATTGGTGCAGTTTTGACAGGTTTAAGGCCAAGTGTTTATCAGGGAGTTTGAGAGTTGCGCGAATTTGTCCCTATCTACTTTTTAACCTTTACCCTCAATGCCTGACAAAGAATTCCCAGCTAATGTGGCCCATATGCACTGTACTCTAAATTGACCTTGGCATTCAGTCATTCATGTATTTAACAAGTATTATCCAGTACTTATTGTTGCTATGACAAGACCCTATGACACCAGCTTTCAAGGTACTTAACAATTTCTTTTTGTTCTTTTTAAACTCAGTGTCCCAAGTCTCTCTGAGCCTAAGTGTTATTGTTTCTTTTGAACCCAACACAAATTCCATCTCTTCGTGAGATATTCCTGGCTCGTTTCGCTTTAAATTTATGCCTACAAATTTCTATCAGTTCTCAACCTCAATCCTGCATTTCTCTCGTAATTTACACCCACATCTTCTCTCTTCTTAAAACTCTGCCTATCAGTCAATAACCCCATCTCTTACATCACAAAGAAAACAGAAGCAAGGAGAGAACAACCTACTTTTCCACCTACAAATCAGCCGAAGTATCTATGATTCTATTCCCTTTCGCCTGCTTAGGAGATCTACTCCTGAAATTACTCCCCTTCTCTCATGAAAAATGCAGTTTGCCTTTCTGCTGAATTACTACCCTAAGCATTGAAATATGCTGCAATAAGAAGTAGGGGAAAAAAATCTCTTCCTAGACCCCATATCTCCCTCAACTATGGACCATTTCTCTGCTTGCCTTCAGAGCAGTCACGCTAGGCAATATTAGTCTCTATTCATGGTCTCATTTCCTTCTGATTCTCCTGTGGCACCCCACGGTCAGGCTGTGGTGCTCCACTCCGCTGAAGCCTCTCTCATCAAACCCACAGTGGCTCTCAGTTCTCATTTCATTTAACCTCTCGGCAAGTGCTTGACATGGTTTATCAACGGCTTTGTTCGTATGTATCTTTTCACCTCAGCTTCGTGGTCACCGTGCTCTCCTGTCTTCCTTTCCTCTCTTTGGCTGCCTTTTCTAAGGGCCGTGCTGGCTCCTCCTGTTCCTCATGACTTCTCCATGGTGTGGTGCCCTGGTTCCCTTTTCTGCACTTTACTGGTCTCACCCAGTCCTATGAACATGTAGAACGCTGCTTATGTTCTGATGACCCTCCAGTGTATATTGATAGCCCTGGCTCTGTCTCCCCGGGTGGTTTCTGAACAATCTTGATGAGATGATGTGACAGAAGGCTTCAAACCTGCAGTGGTTTTGCAGCACATCCAGAGTTCAATCAGAGTCGTGCCTTTTCTACTCTCTGCTGTAGCTGCACGAGTTTCTTTGTAGTTCCTCCAACAAACCAGGACCCTTCTACTTCTCCCTACTGAGCATTTTCTTTCCATAGATATTTACTCTCTCTCTTTATTTAGATTCTATCTCCTTTGTCACCTTACTAGAAGACTTCCCTAACTACCCTGTCTAAAATACTAATCAAGTAGAGTTTAGAGAACTCTCTAAACCTGTCATTATATGCTTCATCTTACTTGTTTGTTAATTGTCTGTCTCCTGCCCTAGAAAGTACATTCCATAAGGTCAGTTATTTTGTCTTGCTCATCCCCAGATCACGTGTACCTATAATAGCATTGGGCACATGAGTGAATGCATGTATGTTCCAGGCATTAGTAATCTTGCCTTTCCCTAAAGAGCTGTTGCAGTTTTAACTTTGTGCATTTGGCAGGAAGTGCTGCCTTGCTTTATCGCATATGTGTTTGTCTCTATGTTTTCTTTGCCAGGTCAGCGTCAGATAGTGCAAGACGAGGACTGCGTTACATGCCCTATCATGCTTTTACACGGCAGTGCTCTGTAATTCTACCGTAAGTGTTCAGTATTCCGATGCTCACGTGGTCCTGGCTTAGGTTTTCCTTCTGATGTAAGCATTTCTAAAGGAATTTTTAGTAAACTCAAACCCAACTCCAGTCTAAAGGAACACAAATGTAGCCCTCATTGTTAAACAAAAGATTGTTCTCATGACACCAGCTGAGTGAGAGGGCCTTCCCAGGAAATGAAGTGGAGAGAACCATAAAGCCAGGTTCCAGTGTGCTGGGCCCCTGCTGCCTCCTGGGCATGGCAGATCAGTCATTCTCAAAGCGGGGTCCACGAACCCCTTTCAGAAGGTGTAGACCAAAACTGTTTTCATAATAATGTAGGTCATTATTTGCCTTGCTCACTGTGTTGACGTTTGCTCTGACAGTGTAAAAGCAATGATGGGCAGGACTGCGGATGCCTCAGCACGGATCTCCGCAGTGGCGCCCAACTGCGCTAGAAGCTATGGGAAACAGCTCTTGTGCAATTCGCTCGTGAGCTGAAACGGCAGCTTTGCTTCATACAACACCTTTTTTTACTCAAAAGGAACAACTGGAAGGCAAACTATGGCCACGCAAAGTTGGGTACCTGGCAGGCATTTCCTCAAAAATTAACAAAGTGAGCCTGTCATGTCAAGAAAAACGAATGGCAGTATTTGTGGCCAATACTAATATTCAAGGTCTGAAGTGAAAATTAGAAACTTGGAACGCTTCAGTAGCTTTCTAGTACTTAACAGACTTTTCTGATGTGGTCTGGATGATATTAGCAAATGGGATTTTTCTGACATTGCAAAATGAAATGAATCAATATTTGGAAGATCTGTACAATTCAGTGAACCAATATTTTCCAAATGACCAACGGATGATGCTACAAAATCATGCATGAATTTTTCAGAAATGAAAAGTTATTTGATGTAAGTTCAGATTCCATACTGCAACAAACATTTTAAAAATTACTACTTACTGAATTTTAGTGTAGTATCAAAGAAGAATGTTCACAAGTATTAATACATTGAAAGGGTATACAATACTCCTCTCTTTTTTAACGACATGTTGTTGCAAGCCTGGACTCTACTTACCAACCACAATTCTATATTACAGCAGATTAAATGCAGGAGCAGTTAGGAGAGTCCAGCTGTGAAAGAGATTTGCAAAAAAGGCTATACTTTCAGAGATCGTTTCTATAGTCACTAGAGAAGATTTTCTGAACGTGCAGAGCATGAGAAGCTACGAGGAAAAAAAGGCAGCCAGGTCTCCCCTGAGGGGGAGGATGGTTCTCGGAGTTGCTGTGCAGCAGCCATTTGCCCTTGAGGCTCAATCTCCTTTGCTTTGGGAGAGTGAGAGAGGTTACACTGAGTGATGTCCATTAAAGAGAGAGAGAGATTTGCAAAATATATGGCAATACCACTCTTCTCGTTACTTTTTAAACTTTGAAATGTAGTTTTTTTCATGAAAATATATCTTTTATGTCAGCATATGGTAGGTTAATTATTTGCTAAAATGAGTTACTAGTACATGCTCTTTAGAGTCTCAGTTTTAATTTCTAATATGGTAGATACTGACATTCTCCACCTAAACCAAAGCTCTTGGAATCCTCAATAATTCCTTCCTTCCTTCCTTCCTTCCTTCTTTTCTTCCTTCCCTCCTTCCCTTCCTTTTTCCTTTTTTTTTTTCTTTTCTTTTTTTTTTTTTGTTGTTGTTGATACAGTGGCACGATTTTGGCTCATGGCAACCTCTGCCTCCCAGGTTCAAGCAATTCTCCTGTCTCAGCCTCCTAAGTAGCTGAGAGTACAGATGCCTGCTACCACACCTAACAATTTTTTTTTTGTATTTTTAGTAGAGACGAGGTTTCATCATATTGGTCAGGTTGGTCTCAAACTCCTGACCTCAGGTGATCTATCTACTTCGGCCTCCCAAAGTGGTGGGATTATAGGCGTGAGCCACTGCGCTCTGCCAATTAATTAATTAATTCTTTCTTTCTTTTTCTTTCTTTCTTTCCTTCCTTCCTTCTTTCTTTTTCTTTCTTTCTTCCTTCCTTCCTTCTTTCTTTCCTTCTTTCTTTCTTTCTCTTTCTTTCTTCCTTCTTTCCTTCCTTCCTTCCTTCCTTCTTTCTTTCTCCTTCCTTCCTTCTTTCTTTCTTTCTTTCTTTATTTCTTTCTTTCTCTCTTTCTTTCTTTTTGAGATGGAGTCTTGCTCTGTTGCCCAGGCTGGAATGCAGTGGTGCAATGTCAGCTCACCACAATCTTTGCCTCCTGGGTTCATGGGATTCTCTTACCTCAGCCTCTCAAGTAGCTGGGATTACAGGCACCTGCCACCAGGTCCAGCTAATTTTTTGTATTTTTAGTAGAGATGGAGTTTCACCATGTTGGCCAGGATGGTCTTCAATTCCTGACCTCAAGTGATCCACCTGCTTCGGCCTCCGAAAGTGCTGAGATTGCAGGTGTGAGCCACTGCGCCCAGCTGAGCCCTCAATAATTCTTCAGAGTGGAAAGAGTTCCTGAGACTGAGGCTTTTGAGCATTGCTGTGGTAGAGGCAATGAGGGTGGGAACAGGATGTGGGTGTGTCTCCTTCTCCTAGGGGATGACAATTTAGAGGAGACCTGCTAATTTGGACCACAGTCACTATGGACAGGAATGAACAGCCTTGGACAGTTCTACACTTGCTGACTGGTCCAAGAAAGACTAGATGCTATGAGTCAAATGGGCCAGAGTGCTGTTTATCTCTTCACATGCTTTAGTCTACCGAAACAACATAAATGCACATTTTTGAGTATTTCACTGTAGAACGGAGAGATGCTTCCTTCTGATATCTCATGTCCTCTTCTCCTGCCTCCTGTGATTATCAAATGTGCTTACTTCTTTGCGCTTCACATACGGTGTATTTGACTCAAAACTTCTCATGCTGAAGCACCTGGATCGTTTTGGTGCCTTTAGTCCTCTCTCCCTGTTGGAGTGTGGGCTTCTGCAGAGCAGGCAGTATGCCCAGCCCACTAGATCCGGGCAGAGCCACCCCAGCATCCAGTCTGGTGCAGAGGGGGGCCTTCAGAGCATGTTTGCTGACTGAATGAGTAAATATAGAAAGGTAATTCTATTTAGGATAAAGCTGAGACTGTTGTGTGAGTCTGTTACTTAATCCCTTATGCTGCATGCTATTTCCTCCCACTCAGGAGCAGCTGTTTGAGGAGCACAGATCTCCATCTTCTACAAGCCGAGAAGCAAATGGGAATTGTTGATGAAGCTGTGGTCTGGGGTGCGGAGGCCAGGCATCCAGTCCAACCTCACTTCTAACTAGCTGTGTGCCATCAGGCCTGTGAGAGCCTCCTGATCATTACCTACAGATAGACACTCAGATGGATATATGTCCTCTGAATGCAGAAACAGTCACATGGACAAACACCTTGAGCCCTGGCTTATCGGAAATGCTCAAGCACCAGGGTGATGAATTTCACGTGAGAAAGTCTTATTTTATACTCCAAAGGCAGGACAATTTTAAAATACCATTCACCTTGGACCTGTATTCTCTAGGTTGATATTGAGTAATCATTGAGAAGCAAAACCAGATACAGAGAGGGACTGAGAAACTGTAATGTGTCTTAACCTTGCCCTCAATTAATGAGGTTCATGCATTCATTCCTTAAATATATACTGCTCACTGTGTGTCTATGTGCCAGGATTGGTGTGGGACTTGGGTGATCACAGGACAATCAGGCTATGCAGTCAGGTTATGTGGGGTCCTCGTCCTTTCAGGGGCTCAGTTTCCTTATTTCTAAAATTAAAACTTGGAAAATATGTTCTTTAAGAGTCTTCCCAGATTGGAACGCCTGTGATTTTGAACAGCCACGGAAGCAGTCCCTTGCTTCTTATGTATCTATTAAAATCTTGGGTAACAGAATTTAACCATTTTTTGAGATTTAACCAGATTTAAGCCCTGTGAAACTTTATGCTTTTCCAGAAGATGAATCATGAGATACTCCAGTGATGGGGGACAAAGAGCAAATATCTTGGGAAATTTGAAGATCTCTGTGTCTGTGCACAAGTCTCTTTCACTCAGTACTAAACCATCTCTAAGTAGGAAACATCAAGTCTTCTCCCATCTCTGAAACTCATCCATGTATCCACATATGGCTTCATTTGAGGGACTCATTAATTTTTTATGCCTGTAATTCCCTGACTCAACCCCATGCAAGGACATGACTACTGAAGGCCTGTCATCAATTTAATTATTTTTTTTTACAAGATCTATTATTATATGAGCAGCTTTGATGCCATGGTTGGAGCTGCTCACTAGTTCTGATGATAAAGCTCAGGATACTGTGCTCTTCAGGGCCCTTTCTTCCCCATTTTCTACCACAGCTTTGCTGTGTTCTACCCTTCTTAGCATGGTTGATAAAATCCAAAGTCACCTATTCTTGAAACAGCATAGACGTTCATGAGGCAGTACCAGATAGCAAAGGGCTCCTGATTTGATACATCTCAGGAAAGAATCCAGCTTCAAAAAATGAGTTTGACTTTACCTTAAAAGAAAAAGAAATGTTTAATATAAGGAAAGTTGATTCCCAGAGTTTGACTCAACTCTGTTAGCCACAGTAGCTGAGCTTTCAAGGTCTCGGGAGGAAGGAACACTCTAGAGACCTGAGCTATATCACTTTATGTTTTGAAAGGAAGATGCAGACCCCTAAGGCTGGTGCATGTCAAGATAAATTTTCTCTGCTTTGAAAAGAGAAACAGTTCCTCTTTTCAGTGAATGTTTGATACTCTGGAGGCCCCAATTTCTTTACTTCAATGCCAACATTTTTCTTGTATTGATCTTATTTTCTCTCTCACATTTAGATTATAAGTCGCTTGTTCTTAGCCTAGTACATAGTACAGAGAAAGCTCTTCAATGAAGAATGGATATCTGTCTTTCTTCTCTAATATGGGGTCCTATGTCATACTGGCAGGAAATGCTTGTTTTTATAGTGTGCAATTTAGTCATTCATTCTCCTACCGGTAATTTCTAGGGATTAACCAAAGACCAAAACCTACCTACTCAAGTCAGAGAGCCTGACAGTCAAATCCTGAAGCTCTGACACTGCCCAATCAAGTGGGGACCTACTGCCTTTCATGGAAATATTTCCTCTTCGTCCACTAATCAAAGATTTATGAATGACCTATTGTGGGCAAGGAGCTCTACGGGGTTCCAGGGATATAAAGTTAGGTAAGCTATGGTCCTTCTCCCATGAAGTGGGGATGATAAACAAGTTACCTGCTTAAAAAAAAAAAACAATATGAGGAATTGTGTTTTTATTTCAGATAAGCTAGGAATAAATTTTTTGCTATATTTAGAATAAAGCATGCTCCTTGCAATATGTGGGCCATACTTCACTATAAAATTATTCCCAGTCTATCTGAAATTCAGATTTAACTGGGTATCCTGCATCTTATTCCTGTGTTACAGTAGCGCTCACTGTCATGTCCTTGGTCCTGTGAACAGTGGTATTTGAATAGTAGGAATTATGAGCTCTTGCAATTATTGTCACTATTATGATTTTTTTTTTCTTTTTCTTTTCTTTTCTTTTTTTTTTTTTGAGACAGAGTCTTGTCTTGCTCTATTGCCAGGCTGGAGTGCAGTGCCACGGTCTCAGCTCACTACAACTTCAGACACCCTGGTTGAAGCGAGTCTCCTGCCTCAGCCTCCTGAGTAGCTGAGATTAGAGGCACGCACCAGCATGCCCAGCTAATTTTTGTAATTTTAGTAGAGATGGGGTTTCACCATGTTGGCCAGGATGATCTCGATCTTCTGACCTCATGATTGGCCCGCCCTGGCCTCCCAAAGTGCTAGGATTACAGGCATGAGCCACTGTGCCCCGCTGATTATTCCATTTTGAAGGGGGGGAAACTGAGAGTCAGAGGTTAAGTAACCTGCCTAAGGTCAGTTAGATACTAAGCATCTGTGCTGGAATTTGAACCCAGGCAGACTAAGCTTTTAGCACAAATGTAACCACTATGCTATACTTATATTACTGCTTCTAATAATTTATTTATGCAACTTGCTATACAAATAATTTTCACATTTCTTAAGTCTTTCATGTGTTATATACAGGGGCTGAGAAACTCAGTAATGAATACCACTTTGCCTTCAGACAATGAGATTTATGTATTCATTCAGCACATGTTTATCAGCACTCTGTGCTTTATGACCATATTGTTAGATTTGATATCATGTTTTCTTTGGTAAATCGGGACACAGAGATTAGGTAAATTGCCTTTAATATCAAGTATGTCATCTGAGCCAGCCCTGGAACTCCTAGACCATCTCCTGTGTCTATGACAGAACCCAGTTTTGCTTGGTGGGTATCTATTATCTATTCAATAAAATGAGGAAAAATGGAAATAAATTCATACTATGACTTGATGATCTTATCATCCATGCCAAGTTTAGAAATACCATCCTTTTAGGTTTTTAAAAACAAAAAGGACCTTCCTATTGGGTACCCTTTAGTGTCCATCAGAGTCCCCTGGGGGCTTGTGCATCACAGATGTCTGGGTCTTGCCCCAGGGTTTCTGACGCAGCAGGTCTGGGGTGACCCTGAACATGTGCATTTCTAGCCAGTTCCCAGGAGATGCTGATGCTGCTTATCCAGGGACCACGTGGGGAGAAACTCCGGCACAGCAAAAGGAAGGGTAAAATCAGAAAGTCTGGGGTCTGTGTCCAGCTTCCAGCCTGTGCACAAGGCCAAGTTACAGAGCCTGATGGAGTCTGTTTCTTTAACCTGTTAGGCTCTTGGAGCCCTTCTGAGAATGAAATGGCATAAAGTAAAAACAGTTTTTTTCTTGCTTTTCTCCTTCAGAGACACTACAGTCGTGCTTCTGCCACATATGCAGCATTGTGGATTCCTGTCTTGATTGCTTCCGCAGGTGTCTGCATCAGAAGAAGGCTCCTGACTGATGGATGATGGGGTAGTGCAGCAGTCCTGTTTGGCCTGATGCTCAGCCCAGAGATGCCTGTGATGAGGTGAGATGTACATTATCTTTACTTGGCGGCTTCTGTAAGGACTGTAGGACTACACTCTTGTCTGTACTTCGTTTTCCTGGAAGCAGATCCTGAGACAAGGTGCAGTTTGTTTAGGAGGCGATCCCAGAAAACACCAGTGGGAGAGTGGGAAAGAAAGCCGGAGGGAAGTGAGGCATTAACTCCTCCAGGCCGGGTGTGGTGGCTCATGCCTGTAATCCCAGCACTTTGGGAGGCCAAGGGGGTGGATCACTAGGTCAGGAGTTTGAGACCAGCCTGACCAACATGGTAACACGCCATCTCTACTAAAAATACAAATATTAGCCAGGCGTGGTGGCATGTGCCTGTAATCTGAGCTACTTGGGAGGCTGAGGCAGGAGAATCGCTTGAACCCAGGAGGCAGAGGTTGCAGTGAGCTGAGATTGGGCCGCTGCACACTGGCCTGGGTGACAGAGCGACACTCCAGTCTCAAAACAAACAAACAAAAAAACTCCTCCATCAGGCCAGTTACCACAGTGGGCATGGTGGCCTGGTACCGCTGGGGAAGCTCTGGCTTTCTTTGGAGGCCTCCCCAGGGATCTTTATCTGTCACTCCCGCTGCCTGAGAAAGCCCTCAGATAGGAGGTAGTTTAGCTAATGCAGACAGCAGCAGGGCCAGGGATCCAGAGGTGCCCATGGCAACCTCCTCCGTCGGTGGGCCTCTCGCCAAAGCTCTAAGGCACCCACTGTTAGTGGCCATGTGCCACGTGCTTCACGTGTGCCAGGCAGAAAGGAGCTCAAGAACCGTGGGCCTTCACTGCGGGTGGCGAGGTGGCTGGAATAGTGCACTTCATTCGTTCCGAGTCAGCTTCCATCCCTGGTAGCACCTGAGCCCCCGGAGCCGGAGCCACCGCAGTCGGAGCCAGCCTCAGCACCCGGCGCTTTCTTGCTGTCGCCTGGCTGTTCCCGCGGCGGCCGAGCTTGGCACCTCTCACACTCCCTGCCCCCGGAGGAAGAAGACTCTGCTCGTTCCTCATCACAGCACGGTTGCTCTCGCAACCACAGCAGTGTATCCCCCGCGCCTCACTCAGCATGATCTCGGTAGAGATCTCCTGCGGGGCGTCGGGGCCTCGGGAGGGCATCGCGCATCTCCCGCTGCATCCTCCTGGACTAGCGCAGCAGGCAGGCATCACCTCCCGAGGTTCAGCTCCAACTTTTACGGTTTAATGAGGCACATAAATAGATAAATTGTCTTCATCATGACAGTGATTGCTTTCACTTGGCAGGAAACCCACATAATACTTCACCTTTGGGATTCCCCTTCCTATTTCTGAGGCAATCATCATTATTTACATTTTACAAAATAAGATGCAGAAGCTCAGAGGGGTTCAGAGAAGTTGAAACATGTGTCTAGTGGTTAAATGGTCAGGTTAAGATAACCACTGAGCATTTGAGTTTAAGGATTTACAAAAGCATGCAGACAGCGCGGAGGTGTGATCTGAGCGCTGTGGTCCCCACAAAGGCAGCAAGAACCCGCCTGGCGGGGCTCAGCCACAGGACATGGGGGCCTTAGGCTGTGCTGCGCGCTCTGGATTCAGCGGTTACTGTTTCACTGAGAGGGCCACTCCCAGGGGCTGCTCCAGGGCATGACATTGCAGGGGTGAAAGGGCAGCCCCGCTCTTGGGAGAGGCATGGAATTCCATCAGGGCCACCCCGGTAGACTGGGCCAACCTTCTTGGGAGCACACAGCCGTCTAGGATGCTTCTAGGCATCCTTCCCTCTGCTCCACTCAGGGTCTGTGGTGTTCCACAGGGAGTCTCCAAAATGGCCCTAAGTGACCTAAAATTCCCACTTCCTGCTCTCCACATCCTTGAGTGGGCCCTTCCTTTTTACCAGAGCGAATCTGTGTGATTGTGAACAAATTATCTGTGTGAATGGACTATAGAAGAATTAATGATAAGTGACTTTTGTGATTAGGTTATGAAGGACTACAGCTTCCTTCTTGGGCTTTCTCTCTCTCTCTCTCTCTCTCTCTCTCTCTCTCTCTCTCTCTCGTTACCTCTTTCTCTTCTCTCTCTGTTTCTTCCTATGTCTCAGCTCACTTGCTCGGGGGCAAGCAAGTGGCCATGTTTGAAGGGCACTCAAACAGCTCTATGGAGATGCTTACATAGTAAGGAACTAAATAAGGTCCTCGGTGCCACTGAGACCAGCCAACAATCACATGAATGAGTTTGGAAGGGATCCAGGAGCCGTGAAACAGCTGCAGCCCCAGCCTATGTAGCTTGACTGCAAACTCTAATTATTGTTTTTAATTTATTTGTCTGTTAAGCAATTGTATGTTTCTATATGGGTAGAATTGAATTTTGCATTGTAATATAATCTAAAAATCTTTTGTGTTTAATAGGTGAATTAACTTGATAAGGTGAATTAATTTGGTAAGATATTTGCTCTTGGAGAGGCGGGAGGTGGAGGAGCTGGCGGGGTGGGAGGGAGGGGAGAATGAGTAGCAGAGTGAGTTTACCCCCATGAGACTCTGAGAGGCCCAGGGCTTACCTAAAAGGAGGCGGGTCACGAGGCTAACTAGCAATGGGCCCCCTCCCAGTCCCCGGACGGGGGGCATGTGGCTCAGTTGTGAGGAGGTGGGGAAGTGGATGTCAGGCCCAACGCCATGGAGGGCATGGACGTGGACCTGGACCCAGGGCTGATGCAGAAGTTCAGCTGCCTGGGCACCACCAACAAGGACAGGCTCATCATCGAGTTCCAGAGGCTGCTCAGCTTCCAGCTCAACCCTGCTGGTTGCACCTTCCTCCTGGACATGAACAACTGGAACCTACAAGCTGAAATTGACACCTATTATGACTTTGAGAGCCCAAACATCAGTGTGTACCCTCTATGTCCTTTGTTGACGATGTCACCATAGGAGAAGAAGAGTCAATATCTCCTGATACTCTGTTTGTAAAAACATGGTGGATCCAGAATTCTGGCGTAGAGGCGTGTTCTCCAGGGGTTTGCCTTAAGTAGGTCAGGGGAGACCAATTTGGACATGTGCACATGGTGATGATGAGTGAGATGGCTAGAGCCCCAGGAGATGACAGATATCAGCATGCAGATGTGCAGCCCCAGGAGAGAAGGAATGTATCAGGGACAGTGGCGGATGTGCATTGCTACAGGACTCTACTGTGGAGATGTCATCCAAGTGATTCTCAGTGTGGAGGTGGGCGGACTTTTAGGAATAACACAGCAGCTGTCATCTTTTGAAACCAAGTTCAACACACAGCCACGTCGAAAACAACTTAAAAGACCCTGGAGGTTCTGAGTTCAACTCAACCAGCAAAAACACAGGGACTCCTGCTACTGACCAAATTGAGCAAGACCAGAATTGATTGCCACAGAACTCTGTAAATCTGTCTCCCAGTAGTCACACTAACAACTCATCAGTAGTGACTTACAGTAAGGTGCTCCATGGGTCTTACCCCTTCGCCCAATCTTTTTTTTTTTTTTTTTTTTTTTTGAGATGGTGTCTGGCTCTCTCGCCCAGGCTGGAGTGCAGTGGTGCAATCTTGGCTCACTGCAACCTCTGCCTCTCGGGTTCTAGTGATTCTCTCACCTCAGCCTCCTGAGTAGCTGGGATTACAGGTGTATGCCATCGCACCCAGCTAATTTTTGTATTCTTAATAGAGACAGTGCTTCACCAAGTTAGCCAGGATGGTCTCGATCTCTTGACCTTGTGATCCACCTGCCTCAGCCTCCCAAAGTGCTGGGATTACAGGCATGAGGCACCAAGCATGGCCCCCTTCTGCCAGTCTTAACACAGGTGTCAGCAAGAAGAAAAATTAACAAAAGACAGAAGGCCTGACTTTGAGGGGTAGGGCAAGAGATTCCTCTGGATTGCAGACCACAATTGTGCAGACCCCTGGCTCTGACCCCGCTCTCATCTCAGAAGAAGCAGCAGAACAGACTAGCTTTGAGTAAACTCAGTATGCATGTGTAAAAAAAAAGAGAAAAGATATTTTCTCTTAGTTCTGTCCTTTTGTTTGTTGGGTTTTCTACTTTGATAATTATTCTTTAGGTTGTTCACTATATTATTGGGTTTCTCTGTTCTTTTTTTGTGTGTGTAGTTTTGATTTTTAGAAATGTTTGTGTTTGCATTGTGGTATCTGGGCTTATATTTATACCGCTATGTAACACCTTTAATCCTCATTTTCTTTAACGATATATTATTCCCACCTAAAATGTGCAATATAATTACTGTTTCCTCTTCCCTTCTATCTCTGCTCTATTACCAAATATTAACCATTATTATCTTTCTTACTATTTATTTTTGTACTGTTAAATATGCTTAGATTTTTATTACATGATTCATTGGCTTTAAATAAAATTCTCTGACTCTCAGCTGTTACTTATAAATCCCACAATAATTTATTTCTCTTCCGTATCAGTACACATCCATACCGACTTTCCCCCCCTTTTTTCCCTAAGTTTTGTCAGCATGTATAATTTTTATATATTTTCTCACGTCAACTTCTGAAACCCAGAAGTTGCATCCTTAGTGCTGAAGTTAAATTTATTTGATATTGATCAACGGTCCTTTTGCCCACCTCTCTCCCATCAGCTCTTACTTGACTATTGTTCAGTCTGCTGAAAGTGTCTTCAAAAAGGCTCGTGGGAATATTGCTTGAGCTTTTTCATGTTTAAAACAATTCATCTGTGCTTTTATTTTTTGGGAGCAGCTTAGATGGATCTTGGGTCACACTTTCTTCCTTTGAGTATCTTATAGATGTTATTTTATTATCATTTAGCATTAAATCTTTTTGTGACCAGATAAATGTATTTTTTTAAGTGATTGTGTGTGTGTGTGTGTGTGTGTGTGTGTGTGTGTGTGTGCCTTTTACTACGCCATGCTTCAGTGTTGACCATTCTGGATTAATGTTTTCCTAGCAAACAATGAGCCTTACATAGATGCCAGTTTTCTTTAATTTCAGGAACTTTTCTTGAATTATATATTTAAAGTGTTTCTTCATATGTTTTTAAAAATAATCTCAATTTTTACTTTAGATTCAGGGCATGCAGATTTATTACATGGGTATACTGTGTGATGTTGAGGTTTGGGATATGATTAATCCCATCATCACCTAGATAGTGAGTATAGTACCCAATAGTTTTTTTTTGTTTGTTTTTAGATGGGGTCTCACTCTGTCACCCAGTCTCATTCTGTCAACCAGGCCTGATCTCGGCCCAGTGCACCCTCTG